CGACTTTCTATTAACCTCGGCATTGATCAAGTGATTTTGTTCGTATTTTTTTGAGCAAACGCGAGGTGTTATTGTTCTTTGTTCACGATTAAGCTGACGTTTCGGCGAATTTCGCCTTCTTCAGAGCCGCTTTCTATGACATTATACTTCCACGTGATTTCTGTGCGGTTGGTCTCTACGTGACATACTTAGTGGAGACCTCATAGAAAGCGGCTCTGAAGAAGGCGAAATTCGCCGAAACGTCAGCTTAATCGTGAACAAAGAACAATAACACCTCGCGTTTGCTCAAAAAAATACGAACAAAATCACTTGATCAATGCCGAGGTTAATAGAAAGTCGGTCGTGGCAGTTACTGCAGGATTTACAAACATGTCTCGCCCTATGCCTACTTATTAAAACACATAAGTTGGTATCACCTGATGATCTTGCGTCAACCATCCGTCATCATTTAAGGTTAGGCCCATTATCAGCTGTGTAGAATTGATAATTGAAATACCACCGAATATTCTTCGTCGTCAGTTAGTTTGTAGCGGCCTGCATGACCGTCTATGCGAAACAACAAATTTTTGTAATTTGCCCTTACGGCATGGGCGGTGATTGCATGAGTTCAGGTACGGTACACTTGATCTCTTGTAATAATTGAGCAGATGAATATATTGGCGAAACGGGCACACCTTTGTGTATCCGTATAAAAGAACACCTAGATGGCAAACGAAAACTAAGACAAAGTACTCCACTAGGCACGCATAGGATTCAAAAGCACTGCGGAGGCGATTTTGAAGTAAAAGTGAATATCCTTGCACAGGAGACTAAAACACCAGGGCAAAAACTTCTTGAGGCTTTTTGGATAAATGCCAAAATCCCTACAATGAATAGCAGGGATGAATGCCCGAAGGTCATACGCGACCTGACCCTGTATGTTCGCATCAATTTCTGATGTGGGATGGTGCAGTCATCAACCATATGCGACTATAATCAGCTGCTCTAAACTTCCTCTTTGGAAGTCACGTAAAAGGCGGTGAGATTCTCGAGAAGCTGTTGATCAAGTATTTACCGTAGAGTTTTTCGTCTTTTTGTGTTTTGAAGCGCTTGGCTTAGTAAATTGTATATCAGTATACCCTTCCAGGCTCTGAAGAAGCCGATACTGCCGAAACGTCAGCTAGTGTTGTATTGTATTGCGTAGATACTAATAGGAAAATACACCGTTAGTTCCGAATGGGTAACACTTTTATGCGCCACTAAACGAACCATTTGTTCTGGAAAGAAAACCGAAAGCATTGCCGCGATTTTCAAAGAGCTATAGACAGGAATTAAAACTTACTTGATACTTGATACTTAATTGGCTCGTCCTCGCTGGTTGTACGGGCACCAGCATAGTCTCCATTTTTTTGGAGTTTTGCTGGTTTAGCCACTGTTTTCCTGGAGTCCCGATGTCAGCCCAACCAGTCTGCCCCAGGTCGTCACCACCGCTGGCCGTTGCCGCCCTCGTGGATCAGAGAGAGATTTGCCACAATGCGACTTTGATAATAGTAGGACGGTGGCGGATCCTGGTATTGGTTTACTCTTAGTTAGGCTTCCTGATAGAAACGCCGGACTCCCTCTCAGCTTGGGAGACCCTGCCAGTTGATTAATCCTCCGCTGTACATCGCAGTCCGACATCCAGGAACACCTCCCAGCCACGATGAGGCGGTGAACTCTTAGGATGTATGAGTTAAAGGCACCCGACAAACGAAGATCCTTTAAAAGCCGAACACAGGTAGAACGTCCACTCACAGACCGATGCTGCTTTGGTTTGCTCTACATCTTTCTTGGTTTTTTGGCTCATTTTGTCTTCTTTTAATATGAAATAGCCGTTACCTGTGGAATAAGAGTGATCAAGCTCGCTCCATTTGTATTCGGCACTAAAGTACTCCATCAAATTTTCTGAATATAAGAAATATTGAGAGCAGTCAAACCAAGTGCCATTAAATGAATAACTTCCAGTGGACACCTCTTAAACTAGTCAATTTGTAGTGCAGTGCCAAAGTGAATGTGGCGAAAACCGTTTCGTCGTATGAATTCATAGGAAAGCCAACAATCTGAATGGTTACACTCATCCATCGAAAACTGTGTTCCCGATAAAAACGCTTATTTTCATAATAATATTTCAATAAAGCGGAGTTTACGACCTGAAAATGCTCGTGGTGTTAAACGACAAAAATATTGTTAACTTTTGATTTGCTGCCCACTACAATTTTCACGGCAAGGTATTATGCGAAATACAACCACATTGATGCTGAGATATTTGCAAAACTTCGGACCGCATGTCTACGGTGGGGAACGAACGCTCTATTACCCTTTCTGTATTCTAACGCATTCACCACCACACCATGCGGGTCCTTCGTTTCGCCTGTCTCTCAACTACAGAAACATGAATCATAAAATTAATCTTATTTGAGAAAGACGGCGCAACGCTGCAATCGTTGGTAGACTCTCTCTTTTGAAAATGAGAGTTTGTGGAACCAAAGATAGAGTTTTCTTTCGTTTTGCAACACCTTTACACTTCGCGTGTGTACGGTTAGTACATGGATTCAATTATTGAAGATCAACCTCCTCAGTTAAGAAATTGTTTGGGAAAGTTCATAGATATCCTTCCCTTCGAAAGGTGTTTTTCGCCTTTATCGTTCTATTTCTAATTCTAATGTGATATCTGCAGTTAATGCCTATGATGTTGTAAACCCGCTTTGAGCATGCTGTTTTTTGTTGAAGACGATTCGCTGTTACCTGATAGCGTGGAACAACTTCGTCATCATCTTCCGTGTCAATGCGTTCAATAGAGTACTGTATGAGGCCGTTGAGATTTATGTCCTCTACCACATCTCTAACCACTTCAGAGATGTCGTTCACGGTGAATTTATTAGAAGCAAATGTCATTACCGCACCTATAAATGGTTGACGTGAAAGAGAAAGTTGAAAAAGCCGAATGCAGTGCTTATGCAAATTTCTGAGCCTGACAGGATGAACTGGAAGAAGAAAATACATTAAGAAAGGCAGGAAAATGTCGCCAAATCTATTGCAATGGAAGAAAAATGACTTGGAAGTTAAGGTAATTTACTCTAAAGGGAGAGTACTTTGAATACGTCAAGTAAATTTTTTGTTCCGCTGAATCCACGAAACAATTCACCCGGAGCTCGAGAGGATTACTATTCGCAAGCTTTGTGTGTTGTCGCATCTTACCGAAAAAAATCAGCGTTCTCATTGCAACACATCGATGTGCCTTTTATAAGCAATTTCATCCTCTTTGAACTCAGAAGTGTTATTTTGTATACATATTCCTTCTTTGATGAGCTTACACGACGTTGATAAATATATTTACTTTCGGCTAACGTTTCGACGTCTTCGTCTACATCAGAGCCGATGATCCGAGTCGATGGTCCACGCCTGTTCTTCGTCTCGATGTGGTGGCTTCGCCTTCGTGTCAAGTCAAGTCTTCCTAAGCGGTCCATCCCCTCGAATGAAGCATACTCACTCAGTGACGTCATTTTATACAGGATGTTGATGTTTGATAGCTGTATTTCTTTCAAAGAAAGAATACATACTGATTAGTAATACCGAGGTTAAAGGAAAGTCAGTTTTGAAATATTATGATTGTAGCTCCGGCTTAACAGAGTTCAGTGCTAATTTGCGCTCTCCAGATTATCCCCTTTGAATGGTGATTGTTGATAACACCGGTAGGGCAAAAAATTCAACTACAATGAAATTATAGTGAATCTCTGAGTCATTAAAGGAGAAATAACTACTTTTACTTGGATCTTGTGGTTGGATTTGCTGAAATTGATCAACAAAAAGCTCACCGCATATGTCACAACAATGCCCTAGTGCACGAACTGTTGTAGAGCAGTTTCTGTCCAGGAAGGGGCATTGGATGTATCTGCAGATGAGTGAAAGTGTCTGAAATGTTTGATGAATCAGCTATTCACAAGTGTGGCTCCCAACGAAAGACCAATCGTTTTCTATGGAAAGCTTACTTGAGAAATGGAATATAAGGCTTAAGAAACTAGGAAACCTTTACAAAGGTCTTATTTGAAGTGCTGGTTATAAGCTGTATAGATAAGAACCCATTATCGATAAATGTTGTCTAAATTTTGGTTGGCCGAGCTGCCAACCTTTATTTGGCTTCCTAGGGCTCAACCTAGGCTTTTGCCTTTTGTTTAAGTTTATATGATGCCGCATTGAACAATTGGTGTCGGCTAGCAAATGACAACATTACGATTGCGAAAGCGAACGTCATTCCTTTCTCTTTGGAGGGGTGAGATTTTGAGTGGCAAGAGAGTTTCTCCAACATGTTTTGCACTTTGCACGATTGCCCTCTTCCGAATGAGCTTTGCAACGAGCGCTCCATTGAACTCAACACATAACTGAACATCGAATTCATTTCCAACCACAAATTGCTGCTCAGCATTGAATCCTTCTTCGAATTTATTTGACATTTTCCTTAAATTTCTTCTAAGAGACCAGATGTGATCGAACGTTTCCACTAGATTTACGTGAATGAAAGGGCAATTGCTAAGCAACCTATTTGCAGTGGCTTATCTTAGCTTTGAAATTACGCTTAATCGCCGAGATAGTCTTTATTAGTTCTTAAGACCGTTATTGTTAATCTCGGCGTTGTTCACGTTTGTTGTTCATTCGTGGTTCTCTTGGTAAGCACACATGATACTATTTGTTAACAGTAGCTAACGTTTGGGCAGGCTTCACCTTATTAAGAGCAAGGAAAGATCAAGTTGGTTGCACTTCAGTCAGCCAAAAACCTCCACAGCTTCGATAGAGAAATGGCGATACCCGCATTGAGAACAAAAAAGCTTCTTCACACTCTGGTCGCTTTCTGTGAACATCTCGCTTAGTACTCCAAGAGGAAACACCCGTACAGAATTCACTTGGATGAACTCTGAAGAAGTGTGTGAGATATCGCATGGCAATGAGGCGTTCCTCATGAGGTTTATTTTTGGACTCTTGGAATTTTTACAGAATGCTGTGAGGGTTTTACCCGCTAAAGACTTAGACTATTGAGTATGGCCGCTACTTATTCAAAATCTTACCCGTTTTGTCTGTGTCCTTTGCGTGCCTACTAGAGTGCTCTGCTAAAGTTTCCCAATTAGGTGCTTCTTTTGTAAGCAAGCAGTGTGGTCTACGCGTTTACTCGTTTCGTGAACGTATTCGCCCAAATAGACTTTACAAGAGCTCAAGTTCACCATAGCCGAACTCATGTTCACCGTTTCTACCGTTAGGGCAAATTATGCAGTTTTATGTTGCGCACTGACGGTCATGCAAACGGGTACGTACTATCTGGCCTCTTAATGTTTTCGGTGGTCTTTCAGTCACTACTTTACCATTATTTTCACAGGATAAAGGGAGCCCCTTCCTCGCTGTGTATGTTTGAGGGCGTGGTTCTCACCCTGAACCTATCCCGAGGAACTACGGTTCGGCAGTTAGTGGAAATGGGTATTTGCCGCGGAGTTTTCAATGATTCTTCTTTCTGCTTTCTTCTCTGTCGATAGCCAGTGGCTGTTCAAAACATGTTTCTCACAAGTGCCATTTTCTCGTGTGAAAGGAAGGGGTGGAGGTAATGAGCAGTACATTTTGGTACTGGGATTTCGCTACCATATGTAACGGTTTCTGGATAGGGTAATGTGAACGCACAAAAATGGAAGTCAGTCTTTTTACGACTGAAATCTATGTAATTCTTTATATTCTTGGTGAGCAAGCACGAGGTGTTATCTTATTCTTTATTCATGGAATACCTGACGTTTTTTCGCCTTCCTCATAGCCTGGAAAGGTAAAATTCGCTAAATCCAGGCTCTGAGGGAGGCAAAATCCGCCGGAAAGTCAGCTTTTCCATCAGTGAAGAATAAAGTAACACCTCATGTTTGCCCAAGGAGAGTATAAGGAATTATTGAATCAGTGCCGAGGTTAATAAAAAGTCGGTCGTGAAATCTACCTACTTTTATTGTAAACTTAGAAATTCAAAACATTTGTCCACCTCTTCTTGCGTTGAGCTGATGCCAAAGCAGTCGTCGATTTAACTGCGCTAGAGTAGTGACTGGAAACCGAGTACGAAGGTTTCAACCTTAGACATCAGCGCAATTGCCAGTCGCTGTCCCACTGGCAATGCAATATTATTCATGCATTTATTTCCCGGACGACCTCCTTAATAGTGAGTAGTATTGACACCGTTTTAGGAGAACCGTGAGCTGCTGAATCAACATGCCACTCATGTTTATTGCTCGGTCTTGTTGTATAAGGTGTTCGAGGATTGCTTGCATAGCTGGCTCATTCTAACCGACTACTCATTGACTCCGGAATATTTTAATGTTATAGTTTCTCCTCTTGAGCTTCATAAAAAGTCACTGCTGGTAACTAGTAGAATAAGAATATGTGTATTGTCAAAACATGGAGGAAGTCCATTCACTTCAGTAGAACAGATTTGCGTAGGCAATGAAGGCTTCTATGGCTTTCCAAGATATCTATCAATGGGCAGAAATCCTCTCTTTAAAAACTATGCATTATTTAGAAGAATTGACGCCGAGACGTTAAAAAGCAGTTTAGTTGTTGCCCGACTTCTTCAATAAGCTCCTCTGGACACTTCTCATCCACCAAGGTCTCGTAGCCCTGGTTGTTTTTCTCACAATTTTTTAGGTCTATAGAAGCCAGGCAGGCATTCCAAGTTTCTAAGCATTTTCTGTCTCTTTAAGTCTGATTTAGAATTTATTCAATTAAATTAATGGAATTCGTTTGGTTTCATATTACATTTCCCTTCAAAGTAAAACAAGGCTTCGAATCAAACCAGGCCTAATTTTGTGGCAGTTTACTACTCTTTTTTGGTACTACAGGAAAATGTCCAGAGCAACTAACACACTGCGTTCAATGCTCGTCTTTCGACAATTGATGATATTTTCTAGGCTAAATGTGTTTGAGGAACCTTCCTCAAACAACTGAGAACTGAAGGAACTGAGAACTTCCTAGACTTACAGAAGAGAATTTTTTTCTTTCCACTTAATTTTAAGTATACATGTGTGTGATATACATCTATGATATCTATGATACATGATATCTATGATATACATATGCACATATACACATATTTAATAAAATTTCGCTTCAATTTTGGTTCCGTTTAGCATTAAAATTTTCAAAAAGGACAGGAAGCGAAGTTTGGGTTTTGGGAATTTCCAACGCAGAAACACCAGCCGTACTTTGGGGAACACCCTCGTCTCCTGTCAGACGTAGTTTCGCTTCCTCAATTGTTCTTCTTTTTGAGAACGACACTCGACGACTCCAAACGAATTTCGTGGACCAAGAAAATTAGAATTTCTTTCGTTTTAGTTGAATATCAAAGCATGCCTTTGCTTGAAAACTATTTATAGTTCTTAGCCCTTTTACTTCAGTTAGCAAGCTTAAATATGAGGGAAAATATATTGGTCCAAAATATAAAGAGGCCACAATTTTGGGTCAAATGCATTGCAGACAATGCATCGCTTGTGCTTTGTGTGTCGATACCTTCCGCTCATGAAACCAAACACGTTTTCGTGATACCCAAACCTTAGTTATTTTTACTTTTGATTTTGTAGCAATCTAATTACAGTTTTTCCCTATAACTTAAAAAGAAATCCCATTTCATCATGTTCAATCCCATCTCATCAACTAAGAAAGCTAAGCAAACTACGGACCACAAAGTGACAAATCTTATGGAATTTTAGGATTCTACCTCGTTTTTCAGATTCGGATTGTAATTTCCAACGTTATTTTTGTTAAGAATAACAATCGGATCCCTGAGCGGCAAGATTCTTGAAATGTTGCCTTTCGACGACTGCCTTCCAAGCGCATGACCCAGCTCTACCTAAAAGCTGTTCATGTTCTCAGTTCCATTATGGAGAGAATCCCTACGAAACATAATTCACAAGTTAGTTGGCAAAGAATCAAACAGCTTGACAACTATCGTCATCCAAGTGCAGTGAAATGCAATACAGGTGATTTCGAAATAACATTAGGGGGTACCGTATTTATGTGTCTCTCTCTACTCATCGAACCTTTGTGTTGCAAAAACTTTTTTGGAAACAAGAAAGTCATCCTTGTAATAGAATTTTCCATGGGGAAAAAAACTGTATCAAGGTTTTAAGAAGACTGCCTATTCCACCCTTCAGTATGGATGTGATTCTAGTCAGCCCTACTTCCGCTTCTTCCATTCAAAACTCTTCTTCAGCCTGTGGACGAAATCAAGTTCCTGCTATGCTAGAGTGGGAATCATCTTAAATCAAGAGTTTTTTGGACAGGAATAATTTATCAGGCTAAATACTTCTCTAGAACACAAGTTGCTTGTCGAAGAACTTGGAATTTTGTCATTAACGTTACTGAGAGGCTCTATGTGAGTATGTCTGTAATGATGTAAGAACAGAACAAGATGTAGGCTAGCCGTGAACCAGTAGACCTTACCATGGATATTATTGATCATCTATATGATTAAGGGCTAAGGACATAGCATGGGAAAGAAGCAGGTGGAAATTATATTGAGCTGAAACGATCTGTGACAATAGAGCATTCATGGTGTCCTAGTCATCGAAAAGCCATTCGACTCTGCCAAAAGATTTACGTTCTGATTACGCTTTAAAAAAATTTTTTATGCATATCTGATACAAGTTGAAGTTTAAGTACTGGAAATGGTGGTGCAAGAGTAGGCTGTTCACAAAGGGCATCACTTTGCCACTGGTGCAAATCATTTTGTAATTGGCTGCTTTGACTTTGTGAAGGGAAAACGTCATTTCGTAATTGACCGATTAAATTCTTCGCGAATGGATTCCATTTTGTCGCCTCAAATAATCACGTCAGGACCTTTGATGCTTTATGTCAACAAAAGTTCCTAAAGCCCATATGTCTGGTCAAACGATCAGCAAAGTCGTTGGCACAAAACGAATAGCCATATGTCCTATCATCTCCAAACTCATTAATAAACAGCCCGAGCAGCGAAGTGATGTAGGCGTTTACTTAAAAAATAAGTTCACTAAGAACCAAAACGTGTACCTCGGATGCGGAGTCGCGCTATCTTAACCATCAAGTCAGTTAATCCTCAGCAGGTTCATCGCAACCATGCACCAATGATTGAAGAAGTACGGCGTTATGCTTGGAATTTCTTAGAAGTGTTTGAGCAAATTTCCAAAAATCAGATAAATCCCCGACGAAGTCTGATTTGCATCGCAATACGCTCAAGACAGTAGAGATCGCTGCAACTGCGTGGAGTGAAACAGCCTTTGTCAAGACAAAAATCAACGACAATTCCGTGTTGTGTTGTGCACTGAGTACTTGGAAGTACAATTAACTTTGAAAGGAAGTTTCTTTCTTGTTGGAGAGTCTTTCCTTACGGCTGCTGGGGAAGACGTTATCAATACCGCATTACTTTATGCTAGTGTATTACTCTATAAAGGGAACGTACTGTCGT